CTATAACGTTATAGATAATATGAATGTCCAGTGTTTATAACGTTATAGATAATATGAATGTCCAGTGTCTATAACGTCATAGACAATATGAATGTTCAGTGTCTAATACGTTACAGATAATATAAATGTTCAGTGTCTATAACGTCATCGATAGTATAAATATCCAGTGTCTATAACGTCATAGATAGTATAAATGTCCAGGGTCTATAACGTCATTGATAGTGTGAATGTCCAGTCTATAACGTTATAGATAATATGAATGTCCGGTGTCTATAACGTTAAAAATACTATCAATGTCCAGTGTCTATAACGTTATAGATGATAGGAATGTCCAGTGTCTATTACGTCATTAACCGTATAAATGTCCAGTGTCTATAACGTTATAGATAATATAAATGTCCGGTGTCTATAACGTTATAGATAATATGAATGTCCGGTGTCTATAACGTTAAAAATACTATCAATGTCCAGTGTCTATAACGTTATAGATGATAGGAATGTCCAGTGTCTATTACGTCATTAACCGTATAAATGTCCAGTGTCTATAACGTTATAGATAATATGAGTGTCCAGTGTCTATAACGTCATAGATAATATGCATGTCCAGTGTCTATAACGTTATAGATAATATGAATGTCCGGTGTCTATAACGTTAAAAATACTATCAATGTCCAGTGTCTATAACGTTATAGATGATAGGAATGTCCAGTGTCTATTACGTCATTAACCGTATAAATGTCCAGTGTCTATAACGTTATAGATAATATGAATGTCCAGTGTCTATAACGTCAAAGATAATATGAATGTCCAGTGTCTATAACGTCATAGATAATATAAATACCCAGTGTCTATAACGTCATAGATAGTATAAATGTCCAGTGTCTATAACGTCATTGATAGTGTGAATATCCAGTGTCTATTACGTCATTGATACTGTAAATGTCCAGTGTCTATAACGTCATTGATAGTGTGAATGTCCAGTCTATAACGTTATAGATAATATGAATGTCCAGTGTCTATAACGTTATAGATAATATAAATGTCCGGTGTCTATAACGTTATAGATAATATGAATGTTCAGTGTCTATAACGTTATAAATAATATAAATGTCCAGTGTCTATAACATTATAGATAATATGAATGTCCAGTGTCTATAACGTGGCTGGATTAATGTACACTTGTTTGAGCTTTAATTTCAATTTTCACTTCTAGAGCCATTGATTTTTTTCTTCGGTAAGAAAACTAGCCTTACTATTAATTCAGTTCTTTTATAATTCTCCCCTTCCGCTTCTGTACGTAAACTAAACACCTTCATACTCATGAAGATAACATTTAAATTGGTCTTTTGTGGACGTTAATGCCGAAAATAAACTGTATGTTTTTAAACCTGATAAGATAAAATTTAAATATTTTCACTTGTAGCTAAATTCCTAATGTGAAACATTTTTACCTGTGGTATTAAGTTACCTTTATTTTTATGGGATGTGTGTACGATCACCTGTAAATAAAACATCTACCTTATACAACGCCAGGTAAGGCGTTCAATACACATCACGTGCTTTTGAAAAGTGCTCACACAATGGAAAGGGATATACGGAATGTTTGGCTAGCACCTCCGGCAGAGCGGCCGTGTTTACTTTGGCGCCTACCAGTAACTTCTACACTCCGAGTTTGGAGAGGACTGTTGATTAAAGACTTGCAATTTAACGATTTCTACTCATGTCAACCAACTTATGTATTATGCAGGGTATACCTTCCGAAGTTGCACCTATGTAAGATTGTCTGCACACCAACATATATATAAACTGAATATCTATATATACTAAGAAACTACCAAGAATTAATAAGAAACTCTGTCTATACCTGTATATACGTGACTAGATCCTTGTGTGTATATATACATTTTCTACCTGGACTACTGCTACTAGCGTGATTGACACACGTAAAATAATGCAAAGACACCTGAGCATTCTTCACGGGTCAGGCAGCTCTAAAAGCTCCCCGTTATCGACACTATGGACATGTCTAGTTGTCTCTTACACATCCGATTGGAAGATCAAATTTGATAGTTCTATGGAGATAACTGTGCTACCCATTAAAGTTTAAATGGGTGGAAATAATATCAATTATGTATTCGTCTGCTGCCATTCGGACCATGAGAGGGATTTCTGAGACACTTCCATTTCAGTTTTGACTAATTCACAGAGCTGGTTGCAGTGTTTATATATGTACAGAAACCAATTTGACTTTCGACTAAATTGACATTCATATCAAATGTGACCAGCTTGTGGGAGGAATGTTTGTATTTACAAGCGTGTGTGAGCTTTACAAGCAAGCACCTTAACTACAGGGGATTATCAGAAAATACAGGATTACTGTTCGACATATCCATACGAGGTCTTTTAAAATCCACTTGCTTTGTCATATTTAAAACGGATTTAAAGACTACGGTATTCAGTTGTACACACCCCGGCAGTCTTACATCGGCCTATGAAAGCTATGGACGAATTAAGCTACACTCTAGTGTAAGTTGTGGAAGTACACAGGCCTCGAAGGGAGTAGATATATGTCATGCTATTATTTCTTTATGTATGGATCATATGTGGACAAATCTGGATATTTAAACGACAAAACAAGCATATAAGCAGACATAAAACTATACTGGAATTCGAAATTGATTTGCTATGTCAATTTCACCGCTAGTCATAGAAATAGATTATATTTTCTCTCCTGGAAGGTTTTCGACGCTTCCCTGGTTGTTTAAACAGTAAAGTCGACGGATAAACTGCGCTGTACTTCAGGTTGTCGATTTAATGATCGTTGAAACTTATTGTTGGCTAGATTGGTGTTTACCGAATAGTGAAATCAACGGACAATCACATCAACCGGAACTGGATGTAAATACCGTGAACTATTCACCACTACCATCGAAGTGAAAGTATTTTCTAATTTTGGTTTTTATTGACTTTCATTGGATGTTTAAATTTCCGGATCTTTCTATACACCTGTTTGATTGAACAAGGTAAGGCTCCATGTCATTCATACCTGTAAATTGGACAGGTGTGATGTTTGTGTGTCCAAAGTCGTCAATGCACGAAGACGTTTGTTCATGTTGAGGCAATATTTCTATTCGTGTTTAGAAATCCCAGGTACAAAGCCATGTGTACTGGTACAGAATTGATCAACAATGGTATTTAATATGTTTGACTGATTGTTTGTAGCAAGGCGTACTTGTCTATACTATTCAATATACATGTGAATAATACTATTTTATTGGACGAATGACAACTTCTACCATTATGAGATCAAAACAGACCTCCGGTACGTCCATAGGGAGACCAATTCACACCACAAGAAGCCAGTATAACGGTGGAGTCATATATCCACAATGGATGCGCTCACTGGAAGAAAAATACCAAAGGATTCACATGAAAATAGCTCGCAGCACGACTGCTATGTCAAATATCTACAATTCATCTTTAGGACGTAATAGTATTCAGGAGAAAACTTTGCCCAAAGCTTCACTTGCAAAACCAAGGGAAAGCTCCCCTGGCAGATTTAGTACAACACAACTGCAATATCGAAGAGTTGCTTCGTCTCTAGAACGAGGAGTAAGCAGAACAAGGACTTCGGTGACTGATGTCGTGACAGGTGGAACTCAGGACAATTCACAAAAACAGGGCGTCGGGTTTGCTCCAGCAAAACAGGAAGACTTAGAATTCGCCAATGTAAATGAGATTGACATTGATAAAACTGACGTGAAATTTAACGATGATGTGATTGATTTGTGTGATGATATTGATAAGGAAGAGTGTGATTCAAACAGTTCACGTGTAGACTGCGACGAAGACAACATCGGGTATGTGTTAGGTTTAGGGCACGTGGTAAGTGTGTCTTCCGATGAAGATGAGGATGAAATTGAAAAGGATACGAACGATGTAAAACATTTCGAGGAAGAACAGGTTTTTAACTCTAAAGAAAGTACGTTATTGATCGACCAAGATTGTTCATCGAAGGAAAAAAACCTAGATTACAGGTCCAGGTCGAGCTTACGGGACACTAATAAAGTATCACCAGTGAAAGGTGAACCAAGGAAGCACTTTATCACCCAGCTTGGCAAACATTATCAGAACAAGTCCGAACAGTTTATCAGAAGGGAACAAATCCCTCAAACATCGACAAGTCGCCGAAGTATTCAGACACATAAAACAAGTAAATCATGCCCTACAACAATGGAACACGTACAGGCTGCTCCTCAGCCTCAGACAGATAGGGGAACGCACGTCAGACGCAAAAGCTTTAAGAAATCGTATAAGGGTCAGAGAAACTCAAATATGTTTTCCCGAATGTCAATGGAAGCGCAACATGCAAGGACAGAGATTCTAAAAGAAAAGAAACCTTCGAAAAAGCACCAGCAACAACAACAAAAACGAAATAGTACAAGCCAGAATTTATCTGGATGTGACGGGGGGTCGTCGAGTAGTAAGGAGGCAGATAGCGAAAAACAAGCTGAAGTTGTTGTGCAGAATAACGAAAGAAAAACAGCACAAGATAAGGCTGTGGATAGATTGTATAACGGTGAGGATTATAACAAAATGTTCACAGACATGAATGTAATACCGGACTATGAGCAGGCTTACAGTGATTCTGATATCTCGGTTGGTAACAGGAAGCACGCTTTTACTGTGTTGGCCAATAGAACAAAATTACCGAATATTGCCGATGGGAAATATGTGACTCTGCAGCATCTGAAAACTCTACAGTATACACTTCCTGGTATTGGAAGGTACAGTGTTGCTCCAAAACGTGAGACTACCTTCGAAATTACTCCGCCTGGATTTGATATCAGGTACAAAGACATGATGGTGCTAGAAGAACGCGAATCGGAAACGCCTCCGCCAGATATTCGAAATAGGGCGGTGCAAAAATGTCAGGAATGGCTGGCCAGACACACGCCAAGGTAGTTTGTTGTAATAATGAATACATGATAATTGTTGGACGTTTTACTGAAACACTGTGAGAATGTTGGAGACGTGATGCGAATGTAAAATATATAGTTCATTTGATTGAAATCGGAAGGAATAGTATTTAACCCAATGGAAATTGTCTTCGATATCCCGCGTTGATTTTAAATAAAGTGGCCAGCCTCCCTTATAACTGTGATACGTGTACAATAACTATTCTGTAATACGTTATATAAAGGTTTCAGCCACGAAAACTGTGATAGCACCAGGATAATATGCCTAGTGATTAGTCTATTGAACTGTACACAAAATACTGTAAGTCGCCTAAATTTCGCAAATACATATTTTCGTATTTTTTCGATTTTGTTTCAAACATTGCAGCGATTGAAATTCTGGAACGAAATTGACAAATACAACCTTTTATTCAAAACAATCATAGTATTTGGGGATCAATTAATTTGCGATAGATTCTGCGTATGAAGTTTATCAAAAATATGTATGCGCGAAACAAGAGTGTTTTACAGTAGTTATTGTACAGATGTACAACTCGATCCTTTGCAGCAGATTTCATTGAATCTTTGCAAAAATCGATGTTTTATCATTGAAATCAACACTGATTTGTTTTACATGTATCTATCAATTAGTTAGATTGTTTATTCTATATATGTATACTCCATCTTGGCTGTTCAGACCTTGATTAGCTTGACAGGAACTTGTTCTCAAATTTTCATTCGATTTTTGTTAAATATATTGAATTCAAAAATTATAAATTGATAAATAAACAAATTCGTTTATACAGATTAAAAGTGATCAGCCACTTGCTGATAATAAAGAAATATTGTTCATTTTCAGAAAAAAATAAAAGCCCACTGTTCTACATTTATCTCGTTATGCTTACCGGGTTTTGAAAAAAACAGGATCTTAAACGTTAATTAAACATTAACTTTAGTATTGAATATTATTACGTGCAAAAGAAGTGCAATTTGATTTCGATTCAATTTTCAATAGGTTTGATTATATGATCGTTTAAAACAATTATTAGAAACTAACTGCCATAATATTTCGTTTAAGACACAGTGGACGTGTCCTGTTTTCACATCAGATGAAATTTTCGTTTTGTATTATAATTTATGTATTGTCACGTCAGCCAAAAGACCATAGAACGAAAATCGAATTTGTTATTTCCTCGTTGTATAAATGTTGAACGTTTCACATGTTGCGTCTGCGAAAATTGAGTAAGTGTTAGATTTGTTATTGTATTTAGTAAATGTGGCCCAAAATATAATATGTAAACAACATTACTATTTGTTTTGGTGATATTTTCAAAGTGTTTGATGAAAAGAACTAATGATTTGCACTGAGTAGCTTCCGTCGACTCAACTCTTTCTTTAGTGTTCTTCTAACATACATATATATATCAGATAAGGATATATTTTCTATTATATATATATATATATATATATATATATATATGTGTATATTAGATACGGAGATCACCTCCATCATATAATATGTATATCAGAAACCGAGATCTCTTCTATTATATATATCAGAAACCGAGATATCTTCTATTATGTATATCAGAAACCGAGATCTCTTCTATTATGTATATTAGAAACCGAGATATCTTCTATTATGTATATCAGAAACCGAGATCTCTTCTTTTATGTATATCAGAAACCGAGATATCTTCTATTATATATATCAGAAACCGAGATCTCTTCTATTATGTATATCAGAAACCGAGATCTCTTCTATTATATATAATCTGCGATAGAATCATGATCAATCGTGTTAAGCTCCTCCCATCGCACTTAAGCCACGCCCCGTTTCTAACCAAAACAATATGGCGTCAAGCTCGCCTCTTTGCGAAATCCCGCTGATAAGGCTAGCAGACAACAGAACAGAAACGACCGATAAAATGTATTTGTTGAATGAATAAAATAGTAAAAAAAAGAAACATTCCTTATTCTTACCTCCATTTATGAAACATTTCACACGTGTAGTATGAATTTACACAAAACTCTTCACAAATCTATACAAATAATCACCGATTCTGTCGATCAGCACAGATTGGTATGCATACTGACATGGAAATGTAAGAAATTGGTCAATATTAATCCAAATGTGTCGTATAAACTTTGGTATAAGGACATTCACAGACATACAGATTGAGCGCTCGCCAGTATGGGCTGGGCCAAATGACCGACTCTCCGATTGGTCCGTCCGTTGCAGAATGACACGTCGCCAGTTCAGTACTTACAATGTTTCTAAACATATAAGCGTAGTATATTTGTTAAGGTGAATTCGTGTCTATACTGGCGATAAGGAAATGAAATTTGGTTTAAACTCTCGATCTATCGGTCTCGAGTTCAAACCAAATTGCATGTTCAAATCGCCAGTATAGCCACTCAAAATAACGTACTATCCCCTAATTAGATACGGAGATCTCTCTATGATATACATCAGATACGGAGAACTCTTGTATTATATATATATCAGATACGGAGATCTTCTATATTATATATATAAGATACGGATATATCTTCCATTATATATATATCAGATACGGAGATATCTTCTATTATATATACATCAGATACCGAGATCTGTTCTATTTTAAAAAACAGATAATGAGATCTCTTCTATTTTATACATCAGATACGGATATCTCTTCTTTTAAATATATCAGATACGGAGATCTTCTATATTATATACATTGGAAACGAAGAGCTCTTCTATTATATATATATGATACGGAGATATATTCTTTTATATATATCATATACAGAGATCTCCTCTATTATATACATTAGATTAATAGAATCTTTCACCCCCTTGGGAGTGAGACAGGGGGATCTCAACCCGAGGGGTAAGATTCTTAAGTTGCCTAACACGAGGCTTGCCAAGTGTTTGACAGCTTAAGGATCTTACCCCGAGGGTTGAGATCCCCTGTCTCACTCCCAAGTGGGTGAATTATTATTTTTCTCTTACCCTGTTTACCCTCTTATCTATCTAATATTGCCGTTCGACAATGCAAGACGATGCTGATATGATGCGATTGAATTGTCGACATGACGTCATGGTATTGTTACCGTGACGTCATGGTATTGTTGCTATTACGTCATACAATTGTTGAGAACGTGCAAAGAGCACGTGTAGCTTGTCTCAACCCTAGGGTGAGATATATAGAATCATTCACCCCCTTGGGGGTGAGATAGGGGAATCTCAACCCGAGGGGGAGGATTCTTAAGTTGCCAAACACGAGGCTTTGCCGAGTGTTTGCCAACTGAAGAATCTTTTCCCGAGGGTTTAGATTCCTCTATCTTACCCATAAGGGGGTGAATGATTCTTTTTCTCTTACCCTGTTCTTCCAATGTGTATCATATACACAATGTAATGACAACGTTACATGCTAAATTCAGGGTTGACGTGTCGTTGATGGATTGTTGACGTGACGTCATTGTATTGTTGAAGTGACGTCACACCATTGTTATGAATAGGGGAATCCCCCCGTCTCAGCCCTAGGGCGGAGACAGATAAATCTAGCACCGGCAAAACGGGAGATAAATCTGTCAGGTGTGGGAGAAA